CCCGACAGCTCCAGCTCTGCCCCCCAGCCACCAGGGCAGGGTGTGGGACACCCCCACCCAGGGCAGGGGCAACCCCAAATCCAAGTATTTTGGGGACTACGCCAGCTCTGCCCACCCAGGGGCAGCCCAGTCCAGCAGCGGCGGCCAACTGGGCGGCACCGGATCCCCAGAATCTTCCCCAGCACCTCACCTCCTGCACCAGGAAGGTCTCCTGCATGATCTTGGGGCTGAGGGCCCTCAGCCTTTCCATGGTCTCGTACTGGCCCTGGCAGGACTTGAGCTTGTCCGAGGAGCCCAGAGTGTGTTTGAGCAGCACGAGGCCCACCCGGAAGATGATCTTCACCCCTGCAAGGGGAGAGGTGAGGCAGCGAGCGCCAGGCAGGACAGGGTGACGCCGCCACCGCGTCCCTCGGATGCTGTGGGGCACCAGGTGCCGGTCTCGCTAGCAGTCAGGACACGCAAGAGGGTGGATTTGGGATGGACGCATCCCCTAACCCCCAGGAAAAGAGCCCACCACAGGCACATGGCTGCCCCAAACCTGCCCTACAACGGCTCTCATGTGCTGGGCACAGGCAAGCGGCCACGGCAGCGCTCCTGCTGCAGCCCCGACTGCCGTCCACGTGCCGCTGGTCTCCAGCCGGGCAGCCCAGGAGGAAGAGGATGGTGGGGAGCTTCTACCTTCACAGAAGAACATGTCCCATACGCGCAGGACGGAGCTCCAGGGCAGCGTGCGGGAGAAGGCGCACATGAACCACTCCGTCATGTAGAGGATGGGGTCGATCTTCTGCTTGCTCAGGTGTTTGTAGGCCACGGGCGAGACCTTGTGCAGCAACGAGAAGAGGATCTGCCCATCCAGCTGAATGGCCTCCTGCAGGGAGAACACCGAGAGCGCCGGTGAGCGCCTTAACCCCAGCCCGGCCTTGGGATCAGCTCCGCAGTGCCCGTCCCCAGCGGAGGAGCAGCCCACCCTCCAGACCTGGCCGTGGGAGCAGAGCTGTGCCCCACGGACGCCGGCAGCAGAGCTACGCTGAGCACCCCCATCCCTGACTGCGGGATGCTCCTGGGGGCCCTGACACAACACGGAGACCGTGGGACCACCCAGGATCTCCCCGAGCTCCCTTCTTTCTCCGGGGTGAGGAGCTGGGGAAGCTTACGGGCTGGAGACATCACTCACTCACTCACCAGCTTCTCGCTGTAGTAGCCGGGGAGGTACTTCTCGCAGATCTGCACCAGGCACCAGAACGCTTGCTGCAAGCCAAGGGACAGGGGGTGAGCACCCAGGTGGCCCCAGGGGACGTCCCCGCAGCCCCCAACCCCACTTCCAGGGACCAGGAGCCGGCAAGCACACCTGGGGCGAAGGGCATCTCCTTGCACCAGCCGAGATTTGGGGTAAATCCCCTCCCCGCCCCCCCCCAGCACCACTCCGAAGCGACCCACACCCTCCCACTGGTCCCAGCTCTCCGGCCACCGGGTCTCCCTGCCCTCCCGGCCATGTGCTCGTACCTCGGCCGGCATGTGCATGAGCAAGACGGCGGCGATGGGGGCCTGGGCCTGGCAGTAGCCCTCCTCCGGGCGGTACAGCGTGTATGCCTTCAGCACCCGAAATAGGTCCTGCTGCCTGCGGAGACACCCCGGGGAGGGAGAGGTGGAGAGAGGGCTCTTCCCCTACAAGCCCACGTCAGTCCCTTGGCTGGGATCCTTCTTCCACGCAAACCCAGGGCTACGGGACGTGATAACCACGGCTCTGCTCCGGGATGCTCTGCCCACAGAGGGCTCATCCCGCCTGGATCCGAGAGGCGAGACAGGGAAGCCACCATCTCCCGGGGACGCTGGCTCAGGGTGAGTCGTGGCCAGGCAGGGACCCAGCTGCAAGCATAGCGGCACAGATGCTTCCCAACACGTGGGGAATGGCATTTTCCTAGTGAAACGGAGGCCACAGCTGGCCACCTCCTCCCTACGCCCTCCTGCCACCACAATTCCCACCCCACTGGCTGTCAGAGCTGGTGCCGAGGGCTGTGACCGGCACACCGAGCTCCTGGGGAGCCGTCCTGTTTCCAGTGGGCGCCTGGATGCCGTGTGA